TCACGTCTCGCGAGCGCGATCGCTGCCGCCCCTCTGTCTTCCTCTTCCTCCTCCATGTCTGCTTTCACTCTCTGTCCCTCTGTTCCCTCTGTCATCGCCTGTCCCTCTGCTCTTGCTTAGCGTCTCCTCCCTTTCTCGTCCGATTCCACATCCGCATTGCTAATGAAACGTCCAATTACCATCAACGGTTGCCACGAGGCGGTCCAACGGGTCTCTCCCCTTTTGCTCTCACACTTTTTCCCACTCTTCTGACATTTGCAATCAGCAGCCGGAAACAACATCGGCAGGTAGCAGCCGGCAACCTTCCTTTACCTGACGTCCGATGGAAACGACCGAACAGCTGACACGCGCGGAACCACCTCGTTTTCCATCCTATCTTTTCATTTTCTTTTTCGTTTCCGCTCTTCTTTCCTGCTTTTTTTCCGCTGTTCGTCTTCCTCTTTTTTTTTAAAGGAGCCCCAGTCGCGAAAGTAAGTCGCACGAATCTCCATTAACGGGAACGTGAAAGCGGACAGTAATTAGTAATCGAATGGAAATTTCAATTTCACGTGGAACCGCGTCGCCTAATTGATACGCGCGTCTTCGTCGCGTTGATTGTGTCCTGTCATCTCGCTTCCATCGGGGAACGTGTACACCCATAAAAATTGTGTCCTTTTCAGAGTGCTCCCATTATAGGTTACATTTATTATTCTCAAACAATTCTTCCGGCATCAATATTTCTCTTTCGCAGTGAACGTGACTAACGAACACAGAATTCCTCCTTTCCTCGGCATTAATAATGAACGGTATAGTAGCTTCCACCGGTCCACCCTTAAAAGAACACCGTGGAGCACCGATCCGAGCGAAACACCCCACGCAAAAACTCGATCGCTCGTGCCCGTGCCCACTTTATTCACTAAAAGCGCCAAACTTATCGCGCACTAAACAAACGATCAAACGTTCCCGATAGCCGCGCGGCTCTTTACTTCCGCGTAATAAAGCTGCGAACGAGTGTCGTAAACGATAGGAACATTACCACGTGTCAGCGGGCAGCCCGTGCGCGCCCGGTTCGCGGCGATGCTGTTTCTCTCGGGATCGCGCGCGTTGCAGCGGAAAGATTAACGTTACTTATCAGACGTCCAATCCCGGTGATTATTAAACGCGTCACCGGCGGACAAACGAACGACCGAATAAATACACGCGAATGGCTGCCGGGTAATATATCAAACTCGTTACCAGCAATCAGTGGAAAGTACGGCCGGTTGTAATTGGCGTTAACGAGGGTACGGGACGAGACTAGAATCAGCTTCCGATGGAATAATTGACCGAGCACCGTAAGGCGCTGTACACAGTATCAGTTGACTCTGTGTCTGCTCAACATTTGTCCCTTGTGTATTGTTTTCGATTAACGAAGATAGAGCGAGATTGATGCGAGATCAGACAAGAATTGATACTATGGTCGAATGTCTGAATAATATCAGATCATCTGATAAGTAATGCCGTTTATCTTACTTCGTAACGTATTCTCTAATATCCCTTCGAAATAAGCATTAAAAGATCGAACAAGAGGGAAGGTTACGTAACGATGATCAGTAAGTGGATGATTACAGGATATTGCAAGTAATATTTTTTGTCACCAGAATTAGTATAAGAAAACGGTATTAACCCTTAACAAATAATTTAATTAGTGAAACAGCAAAACATTAGCACGTAGTTTCCTGTTTTCCTATTAATTAAGCAATCGATATGTAATTTAACTTCATCTGCCGAAGGTTTTGTACATTTCAAAGAATCTTCGTCCGCAAGGGGTTAATTACAGAATGATCTAACATTTAATTGTATTCAGAGGACATCGAAACTTGACCACCACTGTGTACTAAGCCTAACGCGTCGTCTTCGAGTCCCATTCGCGTTTATCCGGATCGTTATCAGGTCGCGATCGCACTCTCGGCAAAACCATCCACTTCGCGTGCATGCGTTCCAATCCTCCTTCATAATTATAGACGCAGACGTTCCGCGTTCGACGCCCATTCGTGGCCATTCGTTCTCCAATTATCAATTATCCGCGACGGCACGCCAGTCGCGCGCGTTTTTCCCCGCAGCGCGCGTCGACATTCGCAATCAGGTACCGGAAGCGACGTCGCCGGGAAAAGCACGCCCCTCCTCGTCGTGAACGAGAGCGGCTAGGGCCCACCCTCTTTCCCGTGGCCTGTAGGACGTCGAAAATAACCGAGCCACGGGCGGCTCGCAATTAACGCAGCTCGGTCGTTTGCGAGTCGCGTCAGTGTATCGTTAACCCCTTGCCATACAATTTTCTTCGGGACTGTGCTTTTTGGAATGACTTCAGCCCTTTGCACTCGACCGGAGACTCGGAGTTACCGTTTGGTTCGACATGGGAAAATTATAAAGTCTGACATTCGATGTCAAGATTTGTGTGATGTAATTATGCATCAAACGTTGAAATAGAATAATCGACTTTGCTGATGATTCGTGTATTATTTGTATTTATGTATCATTATTTATGTATATATTTGTATTATCTGTATTAGTCGTAAAAGATATCATTTATATTTCGTTAGAAAATGATGAATACGAATAAAGATTTTCGAGTGCGAAGGGTGAATAATTCGCGAAGAAATTGCTCCGTTCATTGCAAGTGCATTTTCACTTTGTAGGTCAAGCGGCGATAGAATGAATAGGCTGTTTTTTTCGTCGAGTTAAGTTAGAAATATTTATCGCGAAGTACACTCGTGATTATATGGAAAGGGGTTAATGAAATTGCGAAATCTTTTAATCGTGTTGGTTTTCGCCGCCCACACGCGCCGCGTGGCCCGCCGCTTTTCAACCACGGAAAATCGCCCGGCTTATTTTCGCCGTTATTCTTTCCCTATGCCGACCCCCGAGAATATTTTCGGAAGAATATATAGCCGCCCCTTAAATTCCGCTCCATTTTTCCGGGCTGCTTGCCGCAGTTATTCTTTCCGATTCTCTGAAGCGCCGCTTTGAAGAAAAGAGATTAGGATTCTCCCGGGACTGCGTGCTATTCATACCGCTTATGATCGTACGCTTGAAATGTCGCTGGAGAAGCAAATCTGTGGGTGGACGTGTTAGATGTAGTAGTCTTGGTGTTCTAGAGGAAAAATGAGCGTGCGAGAGTAATCTTTGCTGTGCGTAGAATATTGATAGGTGACTGGAAATTGTGTAGTTTGATCATGAATCTTGTGGTATCTGTAATAGTTTCTTGTCGGATAATTAGATGCTCCCTGTTTAATCCTTTATGTTCTAACAGCAATTTAAATCATCGTATTTGTTTTAATGCTATCGTGGATAAAGTATCCTCAAATTTCGTAAAGATTCAAATGAAAAATATTTTCAAGTAACACAGAACATAAGGGGTTAAAAAACTGAACCACTGCATGATCAACCCAAATATTAAGAAAACACTGATCAGGAAAGCGCGGCGACGTATTTAAAGAATTCTCGAAGTTCCCAAGTCATAAACACCCCGTCAGTTTTCATGAAAACTTCGACCGGCTTTCTGCTACGCGACGGATAACTATACGGCCGATAAAGTGTCGCAGCGACGATCCTAAATCGATACAACCCGGATAACGGCGCGCAGTTTTTGATCGCGCGTTAACGACGTCACTTTGCATAATCGATCCCGAAACGCTGCCAAAACCCTGTTCGGAGCTTACCGCCGGTCGCGTCCGTTGGAACAAAAGAGTCCTGCAGGAACGAATTTCAAAATTTATCTTCCGCAGAGCAAACGATGCACTGGTTCGCCCAAATCGGAGGTGACGAGGCCGCTCCCGACTCGTCAGGTAATAATCAGCCCGACAAACAACGGGCAGTGTGTTCCGCGACGAAATGGTCGCGATATTTGCACGGAATTTAATGCCACGCGTAACGAATGCGTATTAATAGTAATCCCCCGTCGAAATTGGAAACTACCGCATCCGATTGGACGCCACCCCTGCGTCGCAACGTGCGTGTTCTTGTTTGCTCGCGCGTTCGCGCGCGCGCGAGCGCGTGTGTGTGTCTATACGTGTGAGTGTTCGCGTGTGTTTATACGCTTCGCGTTTCTGTTCGGTGTGTGCTCTAACGTTTGCACGCAGCTGTACACGAATTTGTCTCGTGTTCCTTCAAGCTTTGTCAATTAAACAGCGCTAACAAAGTCTGATGCGAGAGTCTGCCCCCCTTCTAACCGCTGAAAACTAAACATCCGAGTGAACCGATGGATCGGAAACGTGGAAAATTCGTGGAGGAATCGTGGCAAGGAAACTTTCGGTCGTACCGTCAAGCAGCCGCCTCGCGTTCCCAACGTTGCGTGCCATTTTTCTCTATTAATATGCAACGGTCTCCCCGTTCGTCCTATTTTTCATAATCGCATTACCGCGCCCGTGGAAAGAAACACCGAGATACTGCTTGGAACGGCCGGCTATCTTTCTCTCGGATGAAAAACGGCCGGGTAAATTTCTTTTCCGGCGCCTCGGCGCTTCTTGCAGCCGCGCACGGCGGAAGAGAAAATCTGCGTCGACGCTGAAGAATTGATCACATTCTATGGTGTAATCGAATCGACGCGATAGAGACGCCTCTCCTCACGTCGGTTTTTAATACTTCTTCCGGCGCGTGACAATATCTTCCGATCTCGCTGCGAGACCGCGCGGTTCCTTCTCGTTTTTTACCGTTTTATGCTTTCAAATTAAATCGCGCGACGCGATTCCTCCACGATTTGTCCCGCGGAATGATTACAAAACGTTTGAGTTGCATGACGCATGCTCGTTCGAACGAGACCTCGCATCGGCTTCGAAGAAACGCGGCGAAGCTCCGGTGTGTCCGTGGCCGCATGCTTGCAGTGTGCCGATTACGCCCGTAATACCTGAAATCTCACGTGCGTACGCACATATTCTCGCTTTCTTCTCGACAGATGTGAAGCGACGACGAAGTCTCTACGACGAGGACTCCCTCGACGGCGAGCCGCATAGCGAGAGCGAAGGTATCACCTTGACAAGGGCAATTGCCGAGAAACTAACATTCCCCTCCTCGTTCCCCCCTCGAGAAATACAGGGTACAGGAGCGTGTCCGATAAATAACAAACACGAAAGCTGTATTAGGTCCGATGAGTTCGTTTATCGCCGTATCGCGGTACAGAGAGGTTCCCGCGCCGATGGTTCACCGGCCCGGCACGATTCAGCGTATTCTTTCTTGAACTCCGGATCGGACGGACGTAACGAGCAATCCGAGGCACTTGTCGGACCACAAATCAACCCGCGTATAAACCAATATTCCCTCGAACCGCTTTCGATTTATCGTAGCATCCGAGTACGTCCTCTATAATTACGTCCGACGAGTTCATTGAAGAATCTATGCGCGTTCTCCGCTGTTAAACGCTTCGACGAGAGATTACCTACGAGATCGTTTATTTGCCACGAACGAATTACCAGCTCGAGGTCCATTAATCGCGTAAACTGACGGTTCACGGTTAAATATATTCGGTATATCAATTAAGATCCCGTTCGAGCGATCGGCATGGAAAAATTAGAGGCGCGACGATCGATTTCGCGTAACGAATTTTCACGAGGGCGGCGATTACGAGCCGATTCGCGATTAACGATTTAGAACGGAATCGATAGACGCGCTCGCACGCGACGCGGGAACAGGTGAACCATCCGGGGCAGCAATTAACGGGTCCGCAGTGTTTAAAGGGGAAGGAATAAAACAACGAAGAATGGAGGGCACTGCGCGGGCAGTAGGCGCTAATCGATTTCCACGGTTGTTCCCAGGACGGGACTCGTCGGGAAGCGCGAAAGACGTGGACAGGGCGAAGCTCGTCCGCGAGAGACAGAACGAAGAGCGACAGCGGAAGTTGGAAGAGCTGAGACAGCAGGCCCTCGCCGCGCAGCGTTTCCGAGAGCAGCGGGAGGAGGAACGCCGGAGGCGCATCGACGAACTCAGATCGCGTGACAACGACAGGTTTGTGTTCGTATTTCTTCACTTCTTTTTTCTACCCCCACCCCCGCGCCTTGTTCTCTTTATTTCCAGAGTGGAAATCGTGGGACGACCTTACCTCGAGACCCCTTGACACGCAGGAAGTGCATATTTAGCGAATTACGGTATTCCCCTACTCGCGTGCTCGCTCCGCCGAGTCGAACCGAGATTTATAGCTGTCTTTGACCGTCTGACAGCAACGGGATCCTCTTATTTCTTTATTTGACTTCACCATCACGCTTTCTAACGAAAGATTATCATTACGGTGTCAAAGGTGTCGCTACGCTCATTCGCGAATCGTTAGCGGATTTTATAGGCTGTCCATGCGTGCTGATTATAGCGGTTCAAGTAGAATTCGAGGCCGATAATTTGTGGCGGTCTAATTGGCTCGTCGTGCGGTAAAAGCATTCGGCGAGGCTCTCTTTTTGTGTTAGTCAAGGCGAGACGAGAGGATCACGCCGCAACGCGGACGATAACGCGGCTCGAGGGTAACTTTCTCTGACCTATGACACGCGAGTTTAACGCGACACGGAACAACATTGATGTGTTTTAAACGCTCTTTACGAGATTACGCGGTCTGCGAGGTTATAAGTTGACCTGGTTAATATGACGCGGGGCTAAACTGTTCCGCCGCCGCCACCGCAGAGAAGCCCGCGAAATTACCGCGACACCTGCATAGAGTTCAACCGCGACGGAATCGCTTTCTGTCTCTTTGAAAGAAGAGAAAGGCCGGGATGTACATCGCGGCGCGGAAATATTTTATCGCCCGCGGGATTCGCGAGTTAGAGGTGCAGGGGAAATGAAAGATTCCGCGGGCCACCTTTTTTATGGGTTCTCATTCAGCGCTTCAACTTCAGGCTGCGTTGATTACGTTTCACCATGTAAAAGCTCGAAACTTCGTCTCTGCTTCATTGAAGAAAGAAGTTTGATGTTAGCGAAGCCGGTGATTAAATATTTCCGACCGGCAGCATGTCTCTCGTTTACTTACTCGTATTTAATTCTAGAAATGTATACACGTGGAATGATTCCCTTAAATTCCTACGAAATTATCTTAATAACTAACGACTCTACAGAACCAGCTGCATTGGCCGTCTTTGTAATGACTATATTCGAAAAAGATGATTATACACACAATCCTTTCCGGTAGCTATCATTAATAGTCTTCTGTTAAACAACGATCAAACTTAGCTGCGTTTATCTAAATTGCATACCACAACGAAAAACGACTTTAGAAACGCGAACAGAAACGATGCCTCTATCGTGCCTTCGTATTTTCTCAACCCCGAGTACATACAGTTCACCATAAGGTGATCCTATCATTACCAAACGTCTCAAAATTAAAGTCTGATTATCGTATGCGCTACTGCGTCTCGAGGCACAGGTGTAACGTCTAAAAAAAAGTCTCACTTGCAACCATAGGTCGACCGAAATTTACATTCTACCGTGTTGTTCTTCCAGACGAAACCAAGTGGAAGAAAGAAAACGTTTGATATGCGAGGCGGAGAGGGAGAGAAGGGAGGCGATCCTCCGGAAGAACCAGGAGCGAGAGGCGCGCATAGAGGCGAAGAAGAGGAACGAGAGGTCGCACATCGTGTTCGCGTTCGGAAGCTCCACGCCGAGGATGCTGGAGCCTGCCGACACCGGTGGCTCCACTTTCTGGGGAACGCGTAGAGCAACGTCCACCACGAACGTGATGATGTTTTCGGCCGCTCAGCCGTTGACGAGGAGGTCCTCCGAAAGGGAGCTCGACGGCAGCAAGAAACGAGCCACTTCCGCCGGCGGTCTAGACCGGAAGCTCGGCGAAGGTCAGTGCTCGCATACAGAATATCATTCGACGCGTTTATCGCGGCCGGTATTCACGGATATATTCGCGGCACGGAACGGATTTATCGCGGTCGAAGCCGAATCGTTGTTGAATCACGGCTCGGCGAGTTACGACAGACGTCAAAACGAGCGAGGATCGTTGACACCGCGCGTACGTTTCGTTAATGGCCGCCGACGCGTTCAATGGGTCCCGACGCTGACAGAAGGTACGACTCGCCGCGGTGTAACGCGTGTCCCGGCTCGGAATGAACAAGACAAAGGATTTCCTGCCCGTGGCGGCTTTTCACAAAATTTCACGGCACTTCCGGAACAAAACGCCGGTGCTCGGACTCCCGACGTACAATCGCGTCGCTTCGATGTCGCGTTTCACTGTTGGTCTCTTCGATCCGTTGCCCAACTGCTTTGTTGAACTTGTTTTCACGCGACCAATTAACGTTGCTCCAATTATGATTCCGTTTTACGCGTTCGCGGTATGTTATCGCGAGAAACGTCACACGATGAAGTTACCATTCCGACGGAAGAGGAAAGTGAGGGTTTTATTTTTATCAATCGATCCGAGAAAGCGTGCGTTTTATACCGTCTGGGTGTATAAATTATCGATAGAATCGGGTACGAGAGTTCACGAGAATCCCGGAAATAGAATCGGCGGTGAACTCCGGTTCCTCGTCTGGGTGTTTGACGTCTGTCGTTCAGTCGCCGGCTGTTCGCCGCGCGAGAATAGAGTCAGGGTTACGAGCTCGTGTAGGAATCGTTAGTGAATCGTGTCGTTGGTGTGAGAGATATTCTTGTTCGACGTCGGCGGCGGATTTGATCGAGCCGACCGACGGTTGAAAAGCGCAGCGAACGAAGGCCGCTTCTTTTCTCACTGCGTTCTTTTTCACCACACAGCGCTTCTAGTTCGATATACATATAGTTACGCAATCGATGCCGCAGTGCGTAACGCATGGATGCACACCGTTCCAGAAAACTACGCAGACAGCGAACGAGACGTTTATACTGTTTCCGCTTGCGCGCTGTTCCCCTCTCTTCCCGTTATGATTTCAGAGATCGTTGTTCGCTCGTCCGACGATTATTTTCACCAGTACGGTAACGAGAACCCGGAAACCCCAGCGCGAACGCTGCGGTTTCATGGACGTCGAAAAAAGTCGCGGCGCTTCCACACGCAGTATCTTTTTCACTGTTTTTTTTCTCCATCGAGGATTCTGTCTGTAACATATTTACACATCGATCACCAACACACGACCCATGGATACTTCACACGACTTCCACGATCGATCGTAGAAAGAGGAATCGCGCCATGAAGCATGAGTCGGTCATTCAGCGTCGTTAACGTCGGATACGCCGTCCGCGCGCGCCACCCTCGGTTCCTCCGTCGAACGCGGTATCATTCGGTTCACAGTTTTGTTTGGTTGGTATCATCGTTATTAGTACTTTCCCATGAATTTGATTTCACGGCGTTCGGAGTGTCGCGAGGTAGCCGCGCGTCGAGGATTCAGATGAAAATGATTTTCCGTCGCCGCGTTCTGTTCATTTGCTAGCATAGTCCACCCTCATGTACACACGAGAAGCACCTCATCTTCGCTCTCCGACTTGCCGGTAATCCGAACACGTTATACGGAACTCCGAGCGTCGGAGTACATAGAAGAGAACCTCGTAGCGCGAAATGTGCCTGAGTAAACGTAATAAACTAGAGAATATTACCACGGCCGGAGATAGATTTCCTTCGGCAATTAAGATCCCTTTGCATCCGCTGTTACCTGTATACCTACTGGTGGTGGCTCTGTCAGGCGGATTGTAATCTCGAAGTATACACATATACCTGTGAAACCGCACTATGATCTAACTCATGCTAATATTCACCCACTTAACTCCATTTATTGTCTGTCGATCGAACGTTCCCCCCTCTGAGAGTCCCAAAAAGAATGTAATTGACGAAAGATTTGAAGAAAAAATTTAAGTGAATCAAAAGAGATAGAAAGAAAATTGTTAAGAGAACGATAAAAATGAAAAGATGCCTAATGTTGCAGCGTTCAATGGTTTGTTTGCAGATATGAAAATGTCCTCGTCCATGTACGAGGTGTTCAATTGGAATTCTAGCCCCGATCCTCCCTTAACCCCCGCCAAACATAAGAGAGCCAGCCTCTCTCTGCCTCCTACAACTGACATCTTTGCCATCGATGATAAGTCTGATAGCGACACTAGGCGTCCGATGATTCAGCGGGCTGCCAGTGGTGAGTCCAGAACTCGAAAGAAAAAAATTCAAAAAGAAAGAAAACGAGATGTCTGCAACCGGGGAGATTTGTTCTGTTGTCCCAGTATGAGCTGTCGACATGTCCTTGTGTATTTTTCTGTCTCTGTTTCTCTCTGTTTCTCTTTCTGTCTGTCTTTCTCTCTTTAATTCTGTCTCTCTCTCTCTCTCTCTCTCTCTCTCTTTCTCTCTCTCGTTCATTAGCACACGCGCGGGATTATTACTCTCTCGCAAGCATGTCACTTTTGTTTAACGCACCGGCGAACATTGGAACACTGGAACCATTTCGAATGCGTTCGTCGGGCGTCCCGCGATGCTGTGCGACGTCGATGCTTTGTTGCGGCGTTATACATCTATTTTTCGAAATTTCCTTTGTTCCCCTTTGTTTGTTTGTTATTTTTTTCAAGAATTCTTAACCCTGCTATAGTTTTAAGTTCGATTATGCGTTTGAAATAGTGTGTGGGAACGAGAACGCGTATACTTTCGTCAAATATAAAAGAACAAATGAGAGATCGGATAGTGGATGAAGAAGATTCAGCAATTGTATTAGCGTTAAGAAAATAAATTTTAATTAAGTCAGAGTAGATTCGAAGAACGTAGCAGGATTAACCTTGTATGTCCTGAAAATGCTGCTGTAAAAGATAGAACTAACACAATGGAGGACATAAAGGGTTAAATCGATGTCGAAGTCGCATAGTTGACGTAATTAGTTAATCATCTGCATCCAAAGCTACTCGAGATTATACGCTAACAATACTAACACTTTTATGTACATTGTAATGGGAAATTTACTAACCTAATCTTAGATAAGTGTTGTTCCACTAGAAAGTCGTACAACTAACTGTTCTTCCTTCTAACAGTAGCGTTGTTGTCTTTAGAGTATGCTCCACCGTACAAATAGTTCTCCTTGAGATGAGATAGACGACGAGAAGCTGAGGTGCCTCAATTTTCAATCGAAATACACATTATACGAAAACTTTTGAGTATACAAAGTGTCAATTGAGCGTAGTAGATATTAGAAAGGCTGATTCTACAATATAGAACAAACTAAACAGCAAGAAATTTTCATTTTCTTCTAGAACCATCCATAAAACAGTAAGAAATTTTCATTTTATTCTAGAACCACCCTTAAAATATCTACAACACGTAGTTAAACACCTTGTATATATATATATATACTCCCATTCATATGGATATTCCTAGTAAAATTTAATGAAGAATTTTTACCATTATTATCGTACGAAAATATATTCATAAAGAAGAATTCCACTTACGAGCATTCGCGCACGTCTAAATCCATATGAACGGCAGCGTACACGTTTCTGTGACGTTTCTATTATCATTCTGAAACACAAGCATATTCATGTCATTCGCAAACTGTTTTATTATTTTCATTCCGAATTCAATTCAACAATACAACGCACGAACACGACTGAGCGTCGAACACACTCGTTCCTAAACATTATTCGATTATCCGACTCGAGTC